CTAGATCTCCTCTTTCTTGGGCCCTCTGTGTCTAATCCTTAGTTATCAACTAGTTCAGCCTAGAATGATGGCAGCATACATGTGGGGACCCCTTGTTTTCCCTCAAAAAGCACCCCTTCCCCCAACTCCAAGCAGGAGGTAAAGAAACTAGAGCACAGGTGTGGGACCACACCCTCCACCATGCCCCGCCCTGGCTGGAGCTCTGGTTTCTTAGCTCTGCTGTGAGAACCATGCCCCCTGCCCTTCCCAAGGCTCCTCTTTCCCCGGCTTAGCTCCCAAGTAGTCCTGACAGCAACCCAGCTCCCAGAGCCCCAGGCTGGCTCTGCTCTCTCAGATGGACAGTTCTGCCAAGAATCCCTGCCTTCTGGTCCTGGGCCAGCACAGGGACAGGGGCCCTGGCCAGGGCAGAGCCCCCGGCCCACCGCCTGTGCTCTCAGAAGTGCCCAACACTGCGTCCCAGACTAGCTCATGCCGCAGGCCAAGGTTCTGCTCTTGGCCTCACTTAGCAAGCCCCCTGACTTGGGCACCACTGGGGCCTGCCAGGGCCTTCTGCCAGCCTGGTCCCCCTTCCCACATCTACCAGCCCATGTTCAGGGAGTCTCTGCCCGTCCACACCGCAAGCTCACTTCTCCTTCCTGGGAGCAGCATTGCCGCCCTCACCCTGTGCCACGTTCCCCCCTCGAGTACCTCCAGGTGCAGGTCTTCCGTGGTCAGGGCAGAGGTGCTCCCAGGGCCTCCTGCCTTAGCACTGCAGCCCTGTAGCCGCTGGGGCAGCAGAACCTGTTCTCCAGGTTTGTGGCTGGTGCCACAGAGGGGCTTCCCTGGGCCACACCCTAACGGATGGTCCCTGTGCTTGGGCCACCAGCTGGAGGCTAAAGCAAGGGCTCTTGCTCAGACCCTCTACCCACTGACGGCTGGCGAGGGAAGGAATGGGATCCAAAGCTGACACCCCTGGGCGGAGCTCCCTGCAAAAGGAGCACCCTCCCCTGCTCTGTGCCCTGGTGCACTGCTTCGTCAGAGACCTGAACCTGCCGCCCTCCAGCCCCCAGCGCACCATCTTGCCTATGCTGGGGCTGTGGGGCAGGACTCCCGGGGCAAGTCCTGCACTCATGTCTCCTGAGGCAACCCATCACCCAGCCTGGACTGGCCTCCAGCCATTCCTGAGACAACAAGAGGTGTTTCTGTCCCTCCTTCAAGGACAGCCAGCAACAGAGGGACTCTGGGGGCCGGCACCCTGGTCCCAGGAACAAGGCAGGGCGGGGTGGACCCCACCCAGCACCTAGCCCAGGAGCACACTTAGCACCCTGGACTACCAAGCTAAGGAGGTGGGGGATCCCACAATGCACTACCTCAGTTAGGTAAGAGTAGGAAAACGGACTCCTCCTCCTTCTTTCCTCCTGTTTTCCCGAGTAAATGCACACAGCAGTCCCTGAAGCAGGAAACCCCTGCTCTAGTGAAACCTACACCCTAGCAGAGGGAACACAGATGAAAGGGAACTAGCCGACTAACTAGTCCACCCCACTACTGTTCTAGAGGGTGCTGGGTCATGGGGAATCAAAGTGGGGAACTGGGGTACAGAGCATACACAGCAGGCTACCCACCACTCCCTGGCCTCCCCCCTCCATGGCCTCAACCCAGACGGAACTGGGTTCCAGTGAGTGGCCAGAGCAAACATCCTAGAAAGGACATGGGGTGGGACAGCGCTGCGAGAAAGTGAATAAATCCAATGGGACAGCAGAACCTTGCTCCTGCACAGGGTGGTCTGTGCACCAGCAGTATCAGCATCGCCAAGGAGCTGGTTCGAAATGCAGAATGTGGGACCAGCAGTTGGCATAATGGCTATGTCGCTGGACTCCTATGTAGTCAACCGTGGTTCAAGTCCTGGACCCGGTGGCTTAAACTCATGCCAGGCCCGTGGGGGTGCGTGCCCAAGATCCCAAGAGGAAAATGGAGGAGAAGGGATTACAGTGTGGCTATCTTCCCTGGGGGGGTGATTTCTTGTTCCGGCCCTCGGGAAAATCGAACAGGCTACCTGAGTGAGAGAGCAGAGGTCTGGAACTGGCGCAGTGTCACAACACGGGAGCGACAGTGTCACAGCTCTGAATGGTATACAGCTGCTGGTTTATTGAGGGCCAGAGAACATTCTTATATACACAGCAGGGTGGTAATTGGTTGCCCAATATGTAAATGAAGGATATATTTTGGACCAGTAATTGATTGTTTTGTCGGGGTGTTAACCAGGAGGCGGAGCTTAGGGGCCAATTGCTATTGCGGACCTGATTGAGAAGCTGCTTGCAGATGTTAGCTAGGTTGGGGAGCCTAGGGGCGGATTGTTTACTCCCAGAACAGGGAAGTCCGGAGGTCAACATGTGAATTCATTTCAGCCATTTTGGCGCATGAGGCTCTCCACAATTTCTCACTTTCTATCTCTCTGTCTCTCTCTGTCTTTCTGGTGAGTGCACACGCCCTATAGCAAAAACCTCTCCAAAGAAAAAAAGGAAGAAAGAAATGCAGAATGCAAGGGCCAGCTCCATGGCCTACTGGTTAAGAGAGCCAAGTTCCACACAGTCAATGGTATAGTTCCAATCCCAGCCCCAAAGGTTCGAGAAACACATGAGGTGCATGTGCGCAAGTGCCCAGAACCCCGACAGGATGGGGAGATGGAGGAGAAGGGATTGTGGAGCGACCACACCCTATTAAGGGTGCTTTCTCTCTCCCTCCCTCTGTCTCACTCTGGCCAATTAAGAGAGAGAGAAGAGAAGAAATGCAGAATTCAACACTGCTCAGAACCATTAGCCCAAACCCACTTTGAGAAGACCCAGGTGATTTGGGCACTTAGTGCAAGCACAGTAGAGTCAGCATCAGTGTTCCCATGATGAAGACCAGAAGTCAGAGGCCCAGGGAAGTTCCAGTGGAGTCCGTGTGACAGCTCTCTGTGCATGACAGAGGCCAGTGGAGGCATAGTGGGTTGGGTCAGAGGCCAGCCCAGAAACGATCTGCCCATTGCTCCATCTGCACTGAGACTATATGCTATCTTTAGTTCTGATCCAGGTTCACTCTCGTGGGGTGAAACACACGTCCTAAGCCCTGGTACAGAGCAGATGGGCTAATAGCACCACCTGCTGGGAATTCTGGAATCTGACTCCGCAATTCAAGTCATCCTTACGATCACAGCCCTGAACAAATGAGGAAAGAGACTATCAGAGGCTGTTTAAGAGGTGAAGCAAAGTTCAAACCTAGGGTGACCCCCAGACCCTACCTCCCTGGAAACAACAGGATACTTGTTTCTGGTCTTGGCTCCCTTACCCACCCACCTAGGCTAGGATTTTTCTTTTTGTTATTGATTTTTACTATAGAGCTCAGTGTGCTTGCCAGAAAGACAAAAAGAGACAGAAAGCGAGAAATCAACCTCCAGGGGTGATGTCCACACCACAATACCTTCTCCTCCGTTCTCCTCTGGAGATTTTGGGCACGTACACACATGCACTTGGCATGAGTTTCAGGCCACAGGGTCCAGGACTCAAACTGCGATTAACCACATAGGAGTCCAGCACCTTAATTACTATGCATACCTGCTGGCCCCAGGCTGGGATTTTTAACCCATGATACAGATGATAAGAGAATTGGGAAAATTTGGTTCTGCACAGGGACGGTGCCCCAGAGTAGGCTGTGCCTCGTGGGCTTATCCCAGAACTGAGCATGCAAATCTGAAGACGAAACAAAACCTCCTCCTAATCAGACTGGGCGCTGTGACTCACAGGCCAGAGAGACTTTGAGCCAAGGAGGAATGTATGTCTCCTTGTGGGCCATGCCTGCTGCCCTGCTTCCCACCAAAGGGCTCACCTGGGGCTGCCCACCTCCTGCAGAGAGTGGTCTCTGAGTTTAACATGGATGCAACCGGCAGAGGCAGAAGTTCCAAAGGGACATTCCGGGTATAATAGGCAGGAGGGACTACAGGACCAGCAGGGTCAAGCCCCTTTCCTCTAAGAGGGTCTACGCCTGCAGCAAGGAGCTACCGCCTGTTGTGCCCAAGCCCTCTTCATTGAAGTCAGCGAGGTTCAAACGCTGCCCTGCCTCGCTTGCCTGGGCCCTGCCTTCCTTGGGCAAGCCCACGGGATTCCTCATAGCCAGGTGCTCCTCCTGGGGTCAACCGGACACAACACTTCTCCGCCAGCCAGCCCCAGGGACCTCTCAGGGCTGTCTAAGCGACCTCCTGCTCCCAGTTATCACGCAGGCACTGGTGGAGCTCAGTCCACGCTCCCACGTCCAGCCCACTCCATCCAAAGTCTTGGGCCTGCTTTATTCCTCAGGCCCTGCCCCTCCCCTGCGGCTTGGAACATCAAATCTAGCAGCTGCTGCGGTAGTAGCAGCAGGACTCAGTCCCTACTAGGGAGTGTCTTTGACAGCTGCCTGAGGCCTCCCCCAACCTTCAACTGTGAGCAGAGTCACGAAGGGGTTAGAGGGTCCAAACGTGAAGCCCAGTGGGGGACAGCCCGTAGCTCATTGGAATGGGAACCTCATCCCAGGTGCACAGAACCCCGTCCTGGAGCAGCAGGGGAACCCAGGACCGAGGTACCGGGCGAGGTGTCTACATCGAGGCTTCATACACCCTGCAGCTGGAATGAGACACGCGGTCTCCTGCGTTCTGACCCCCGCACTCCCGGCGCCCAGAAAGGGATTAACCACAACTTCAAGGTTCCGCAGCTTAGAGGGGGACGAGGTTAGGCCGCCGCAGCAACCTGGAGCTTCAGTCGATCCATGCATAAGATGGTACCACATATTCGCTTTTACAGGGTGGTCACAGGTGAGAGGTGACGTAGTGGAGGCTAGACTTTCGGAGCAACGCTGGAGAGCAAGGATTCTCCAACTCCCTCTTTTCCTCGGCCCCGCCTCCGACGGGCCCCAGTTCCGACGGGCCCTAGCTCCGACAGGCCCCGCCCCCTTGTGCGTGACGTACAGGCTTGCTGCGCACGCCCAGCCCGTCACTTGCGTCTTCAGGCCCCGCCTACGCCGCGGCCATGGCACCTGCCGGCGCCAGTCCCCCGGAGGTGATCCGCGCGGCGCAGAAGGACGAGTACTACTGCGGGGGCCTGCGGAGCGCGGCGGGCGGGGCCCTGCACAGCTTAGCGGGTGAGGGCCGCGCAGCACCTCCCCAAGACGGGG